TAAAACGGACCAAAACTTACCAAATTATGTCAAAAATAATAATATTTTTGCCGTTGCAAGCATTTTTTAACCTACTTAGTAAAAAATTTTTGCCAAAAAGGCCCAAAAATTACCAAATCAAATCGAAAATTATGCTACTTTTAACATTTTCAAAAGCATGTTATTGAGCTAAGAACTTCTTTTTTCGCAAAATTTCGCTAAAATAGGCCACAAAATCACTAAATTAGCGTTCTATTTATTTGGCCTGTTTCACTGGATTTAATTTGGTGACCCAAAAACGTACTTTTTTTCGAAAAATTTCATTCACAGGAAGAAAAATCACCAAGTGCTACTTTTTCGAGCGTTTAACATGTTTTTGAGTTAAAAGCTGTTTTTTTAAGATTTTGCAAAATATTTGCAAAAATGACTAAATTTGGTCGAAAATTACGTTATTTTTAACTTTTTTAGTTGGAAATGCGACATTTTGCTCAATCGACAATGGTGTTTTTTGCCTATTTTTAAGTAAAAATCTTAATTGATTTTGATCAAAACATGCCCAAGAATCAATTTTTGAGCCAAAATTAAAATTTTTCTATAATATCCAAATTAGGGGTCGTAAACGACATTATTTTTGCCTTTTTTGAGTAAAATTTTACCCAAATGGCCCAAAAAATTAGGAAATTAATTTGAAAATGGTATATTTTTTGGTATATTTTTTTAAACTTGGGGTTAAGATAAAAAATACTTTTGGCGGAAATTTTTTGCCACTTTCAGTAACAAAATTCTAAATTCCATAGTTTTTCACAAAAAGAGGTTTTTTGCGTTTTTTCGATACAATTCTTTTCAGAAGGTGTAGCTTTTTTACAAAACATTTTTGATAAATGTTTATAGGAAAGTTTTGTCATAAAATTGAATATTCTTTTACCTGTTCAAATTTGTAACAATAAAAACGAAACACCTTGTATAATAAAATGCATTCAAAAACATTATTACAAGTCCAGAAGATATTTAATTTGTTTTTGGGACAAAAAAATTTTTTTTAGAAAATTTGGCTAAAATAGGCAAATTAGGAGTCTAACACGACATTATTTTTGCCTTTTTCAAGTAAAATTTTACCCAAATGAGCCAAAAAATTAGCAAATTAAGTTGAAAATGGTATATT